GAGATCTGCTGTGTGTATGTTATGCCTGTTTCTGTGTGTATGTGTATGTATGTGGTATATATGTATGTGTGTGTGTATATATATATATATATATATATATATAGAGAGAGAGAGAGAGAGAGAGAGAGTGATATATTGTGGTATATGGTGTTTGTGTGTGCGTGTGTGTGTGTGTGGTATGCCTGTAGCTCTGTATGGGTACGAGTGTGTGTGTGTTGTATATGTATGTGGTATGTGTGTGAGTGTGTGTGTGTGTGTGTGTGTGTGTGTGTGTGAGTGAGCGGATATGCATGTGCTTCTAGGATACATACAGATGTCCAAATCTAAAGCTCCAGGGTGTGTATATAGGATTGTGTTTTATCAAGCTCAGCCAGTGCTCTGCATGCACACTCCATCAAAGTACTGGTGAGAAGGGAGGCCCATGGCTCCTAGTTCGAGAAAACACAAATCAAACATGTCCTGAAACATTAGCAGCGTTAATTCATAGGGTGCTTTCTCCCACATGTCTTGTCCCTTTCCTTTGTTTCACCTTTTCCAATCTCAGTATTCCCCCTTCTACTTTCATATCACAGGCCTGTAAGTCCTACCCATTAAAGAATTCTTTTTCTCTCTTATGGAGGGCCACTGAGCTCCCAAAACACCACAGGCAACTGCCGCTGCTCTTAGCTGTTCATGATAACTAGTTGGGAAGATCCTGTTGCTGAAGATGCCACAGTCTTTAGTCACAGGACATAGAGAAATCAAGCTTGAGCTGGGATGGGAATTTCCTCTCTGCTGGCTAGCCTGCATAGTGCCAGAAGGTGTGATGTTGGCTGCTGAGGGCAAATGGTGAATTGTCCACTCATCTGTGGACCCCGTGTATAATGATTCTGACTGGCAAGACTCTGATGAGCCCGTTGGGGCAATAGTGGCAAGCCTGCCTTGCAGGTGACCAATGGCTTTCTGATTGGCTTTGATGCCAGCCATACTGCAGGAAAACTATGTCTCCTACTGTAAGTCCAGTCAAAAGCCTGTGGCTGGGGAGGTTTATGGGCCCTTGTGGGAAGCTGTTGTTTTGCTCAGTGAATATGATATCCTTGTCAAATTTCCTCCTAAACAGCAGTGTTTGCCCACTGACTAGTGCCGCTGTCAGCTTCTCTGTAGTAGTTAATGGTGGATGCAGAGATAATGGGTCAAAAACAGAATAACTATCGAATGCTCATCTATGAATGAGACATCCGAACTATAGTCTCCAGTCCTCAGAGAAGATGGAAAGGGGATGGGAGGAAATGTAAAGCCCAGAAGAACAGGAGGAGCAGTGTGGTGTGCTTACTTCTGGGTATGACACACCTTTGCACTCTTGAACTCTTGGTTGGCTGAACAAGATCTCCACGAGATCTGGCCTGTCAACACCCCATCATGGATGCAGGAGGAACTCTCGGGGCTCGGCTTCTCCCTGAGGGTTTATGCACAGTGATGGTTAACGGCGAGGGAGAGACATTTTCTTCAAAGGTGTATCCACTGGTGGGATGCACATGTCACTGTAAATAAAATTTCACCAAAGATGTTTATAGGCAACCCCAGTGAAACTGAGTGGGTCACACAGAAAAGCCATGAGAGGAGAAGGGTGGCTAGATGGGAAAAGAGAGATGGTTCACGGAAGTGGGAGAAGGACAAGACAGGGGGCAATGGAGAGAGTATGATCAAAATGCATATGCACATGGAAGAAAACGCCACAGTAAAATCCGTTATGCATAATTAATATATGCTGATTAAACAATAAAATAAAAATAATTTTATAGCAGTGACTTGGTATATATTTGTTGTTTTATGCATAGTATTTGAATGAATTAATGATAATATTATGCAGACAAAAAGTTACTCCCTTTTTATTACCAGAATATTTACTTTGTTCTCCTAAAGAATGCACCATCCGTATTTAACTACTCACTTCATCATCTTCATTCTAGGCTACAACTTTATGTTACTGCATTGCCAGTGCTAACCCATAGTATGCACATCATCAATATTGGATTAAGCAGTTATAAGTATCGCAAAGGGAAATCTGAAAAAGAAGTTGTACGAATTATTACATTTTTTGAATATGCGTTGAAGTGGTGAGAGGGATTCCCGCAGGTTGCTCAGCTCTCACGGGAAAATGGAAATCGCAGCTAGAAAACCACAACAGAGCCTGCAAGTGGATATACGGGAGGCTGCGTGGAGTCAGGGCCTGGAGCATGGAATATGCTGCAAGAGATTATTACATACGTATGTTAAGTACACATATGTGATTAGTATACACGTGGATAGGATGCATGCGTCACTAGTACGCACTGACTAGTACACACATAGGGTTAATGCACATGTATGATCAGTACCTATGTGTGATTAGCTCACACATGTGATTATCACATACATTTGGTTAGTACACGCCTGTGACTGGACAGACATGCGGTACTTCAGGAACACCGCTTGTCAACAGTGAGAACAAGAGTGTGTGTGGAGAGAAAAGGAGCATCTACAGTGGATGAAGCTAACTTGTGCTCAGGATTTTGCGATATTCCAAATATGAAGGGGGTGGCCACAAAAGGTCAGAACACAACAAATGCCACGTTAGGCAGGTGTCCATCGTTCCTCGTTAATCTTGCAGCTGAAAAGTATTGAATGTTGCAATTCTGTACGACTTCATTTTTAATCTTTCTCAGCAAGGAGGTCGGACTTCTGGGGCCACTCATACCACGAGTCTATTGTAGAAATGACAGCGGTTTGGAGAGCTGTCCATGATACTGAGTTGAGAATCCAGGAAAGTTTAAACACTTCTGCTCTTGTGCCTGCAGTTGTCCACAGCCGCTGCCTAATTTCTAAACCCCATTGTTGTTCCTTGGCTTGCAACACCCTGGTTTTAAACGGTCTCGTTTAATTTCCTGTGAGGTGCTGCATAGACTACCTTGCAGATTTCGGGACTTTTGTTACATTTGCAAGTTATCTGCATTTTCTGCTTCCTCCATAAACAATGCAGATCTCTAATCCAAAGATTTCACCAGTATTTGTGGTGCCCACATTTGTCCCGAATGCTGCCACTGTGGCCGCTGCATGGCATAGGCTGCAGCCTGTCATGTCCATTCTGCTACCTGTCTTGGGCCTCCAGAATCTTCCACAAGATTTGCAGCTTTTTCTAGCTTAGTTCGAATCATCCCCACTCAGTTTTCCTTGTATCACCACCCTGCCTGGATTGTAGTCCATTCAGGCATAGATTAAAAGGTACTTCCATCTCAACTGCTTAGTTAGACATGAGATGGCAAAACTTTTCAAAGAAAAAAATGGTTGTATGGCCAACTCAGAGGTCCACAGCCTAAGAGACGTTAAGCCTTTTAAATTATGCGAGAACTGATAATCAGAAAAGTTAACATGTTAAATTATACGAAAATGTATACAATTATACATTGGTTTAAACTCTAGGCACAAAGCACTGTAGGTAGAGTTTTCATGGGTTAAAGCTTTGTCTAGACATCCAAACCTCATAGTGTGTATATAAGAAATTATCTGTCATGTGGGAATACCCAACTCCTGCAGGGTCAGCAACATGCTTTCACGAGCCAGAAGCATGTGAGCTCCCTTCTGCTTCAGATAACATGACCAGATTCTCCCACCTGAATCCCTCCGACATGTAGATGGCACATCTAAGGAGAACCACTGGCTAAGATGATTTGCTTTTCAAATGTTGTAAACACTACATAGAGAGCATGCATGTATAAAACCTAAACGAAATCAAGAAGAGACCTAAGTGTTAAGTAGGGATCCATCAGCCTTTGCCACATGAAATCAGTTATCGTATGAACCCTCTCACTAGAGAGTCCATATCCTCTGTGTAGTAAAGTGTGACATAAGAGCGTTTATGAATAAGTTATAATCACAGGTAGTAGCTCCTTATTGCATGTCATGTGTAAATATTCATCCAGAATTTTAAGGATAACTCTTTAATTACCAAGTATGATTGACAGATGAACTTCTCCATAGATAAACAGGAAATGCAATAGCTAATATATGCAAATTCTTATCACCCGCAAAATAGAGTGTCATAGAATTAAATGTTTATTTAATCTAGTATTTTCAGCACTTAATGATGATAGTAGAAATTTGGGTATTAATGAGAAAAATGATGTCAACTGCATTCAATTCAAATTTACCTCATGGATAAGAGCCCTGCATGTCTGTAGCCTCAGCTTTTGTTGAGGAGAGGACTTCAGAGAGGAGAGCATCTTCATCCTGCCTCTGTGAACACCTTCCTCAGTTTCTTGAATCCATAAGTGTCTAAGACACACTGAAGTCAGTATATCTTCAGTATTTGTTTGTCTAAAAGGGATGAAATGATCATATGACCAAATTTCATTTTTCTCTGTTTGAGGCAGGTTTTGTTTATTCTGTTATTAGGTCACAATATTATATGATCAATATCCCCAGGTGTTAAACATTTTAATATTAAGAAAATATTGTTTGCATTTTAAGGCTCATTTATTTCAAATAAACTGGCAGGGTCTAATACATTGCTTTCCCTATGTGAGCTATCTGAACTAGATGAGATATGGCCAGATATTTGGTTTGTTTTTCTTTTTTAAAATTTATTTATTATTTATTACAATTTATTTACTTTGTATCTCAGCTGTAGCTCCCTCCCTCTTCTCCTTCTCCTCCCATGCCCCTCCCCCAGCCCACTGATAGGGGAGGTCCTCCTCCCCTTTCATCTGACCCTAGTCTATCAGGTCTCATCAGGACTGGCTGTATTATTTTCCTCTGTGGACTGGAAGGCTGCATCCACCAAGGGGGGAAGTGATCAAAGAGCCAGTCAGTGAGTTCATGCCCGAGACAGCCCCTGTTCCCCTTACTAGGAAACCCACTTCGAAACTGAGCAGCCTATGTGCTACATCTGATATTTGTAATCACTGGGGAAAAAAAAGACTTCTCTGTATCCATTATCATTGTTCTATTGCTCTTGTCTCAAGTCTCATTGTTCTTCTTGACAGGGATTCGATAAACACGTGGATGTGTCATATATTGCCAAACATTACAACATGAGCAAAAGCAAAGTAGACAACCAGTTCTACAGTGTGGAAGTCGGAGACTCAACCTTCACAGTTCTCAAGCGCTACCAGAACCTGAAGCCGATTGGCTCTGGGGCTCAGGGAATAGTTTGGTAAGTAGAATGGATTTGTTGTACTTTTGAAGAGAGTGTGCTATATTCATTTACAAAGTACAAACAGATAAACATATCAGATGGAGCACATATATATTGAAAATATAAAATTATAAGCACCATTTGTTTATTCATTATCTACTTGTTAACAATATGCAATCTGGCTTATGATGTGTTTTTTTGTTTTTGTTTTGTTTTGTTTTGTTTTGTTTTTTAAATCACCAGAAAACAAAAATTATAACGCAAGGACAAGAAAGAGATCCAAAGGATGAAAGTGTTTTGCTGTTGGTACTGTATTTAGAAAAGTTTATTTGTGTATTTCACAGCAAGAACAACTGAAGGCAGGGGCAGTTGGCTCCCTGACACACTCAAGATGTGTGAGCCCTCTGTGACTGCTAAAGTTTGCACCGGCGAGTTTGTGCCAATTAACCACAGGCTAAACTCATTTGGGAAGAAACAACCTCAGCGGATAAAATGCACTCCACCCCCATGGGTCTGTGGGCAGTCTTAATGGCTGATTGATGTGGGAGGGCCCAGCTTACTGTGGGCAGTGCCACCTCTGGGCTTGGGGTTCTGGTGGCTATAAGAAAGCAGGCTGAGCAATCCATGGGGAGCAAGCCAGTAAGCAGCACCCTCCATGGCCTCTGCCCCCAGGTTCCTTCCTGCCCTGCATGAACTCCTTCACACCAGTTCTTAGAAGTATGAAAGGGAGACAGAGGGGCAGGCCAGACGCATATGAACAGAAAGAGTGAAGAGGAGACTTGAAATATTGGGAACTGGCCACAAGAAAGACTTTGAAAACGGAAGAGGTAGGGCCTTGAGCCAAGAGTGGGACTGGCTCTCGGGAGCCAGAAATGGCTTATTGCTGAAGGAAGATGTTAGTCCCAACTTTAGGAAAAGAAGCAGGTTCTTTTCTGAGACCCCCAGGGAGGGAACTCAGCTTTCCAACGTCTTGATTTTAGGAAAGTGAAACCCCCGCAGGGCTCTGGATCTACAGAGCTGTAAGATGATAGATACATTGCTTTTGAGCAGTTATTGAGTGGTAGTTGTGGCAGTGGCACTGATGTACACGGGACAGTTAAGAGCCTAACATGAAGATATCTGTTGTTTGGCTTGGGCATGACTTAGCAGTTAAGATCATTGGCTGCTCTTCCAGAGAACCTGGGTTCAACTCCCAGCAGACACATGGTAGTTTACAGTTATCTATAGCTCCAATTCTGGGAAATCCAATGTCATCTTCTGGACTCTGTGACACTCGGCATGCGTGTGGTGTGCAGACATATACACGGGCAAAACACCCATATGCGTAGAATAGCAGAACAATTTAAAAAATAAAAGATAACTGATGCAAAGCCCCCACACTTATTGAAGTGTGGGGTGAGAGCAGCAGTTCTGAGCTACTTTGCTGGAGAACTGTAAAATATCCACAAGAGGAAGTTTTCCTCCAGAAGATCCTTAGCTCAGATACATTTTGGGATAGTTTTATTGTTTTTTCTTTCTAATAATGTTGTCATGGAAAATGAGGACTGCCAGTGACAGGACAGGGGTAGACCTTTGGGGAAGCTCCAAGTAGCATTTGGTTCAGCAAGGTAACAGGTCATCATTGGCAGACTTAAAGATCCTGGTCTAAGATTTTTGCAATATGTTTCACAGGACATTGGGTGTTCTCGTTCTCCTTTCTAAAGGGTGTAAATCATCTTTGGCCTTAAGTAGAGTTACTGATAACAGGTGAGGCACTGGGTTTTGTGGACATCCTCGGAGGGGTTCTGGTTACTTGTCCCCTAGAATAAGGAGGCAGACAGAAAAACCATGGTGTAGCAGAAATTCAGACAGTTTACTAGAGAAGGATGTTCTTCCAGCGGAGGAAGAAGGCCAGAGCAAGGACAGAGTTTCCAGCTGCGGTGCATAAAGCACATATCAGAGCACAGGCTTGTTGAGTGCTTTCTGCTGTGTGGGGCTTTGGGGCTCAGTTCCTCCTGCAAGCTCTATCTGGCACAGGTAATTCTGCGTACAAGTCAGTGCATTGCATATCTCAACAGCATCTTAAGTATCCATGCATGGATGTGAGTTTTAGTCTTACAATGGACCACAGACCACCTTTGTGAACTCTAGAGCGCCTCTTGTAAGTGGCAGTGGTTCCATCCAGGCTTTTCCAGTCTGTTTTGCACTGCTGGCTTCTCTTGGCCTTTACTCCAGGGTGCCCTGGACTTTCACTCTCTGTCATGCTCTTCTGCCTCAAGATTACCCACGACTTATTTAAACTCATTTTTAGAACAAATGTGTCAGTTAAAAAAAAAAAAAAAAAAAAAAGCAACCAAACAAAAATACCCTTGCATTTCAAAAATTATAGCCTTGGTGTTTTCTGAGGTTCTTGGCCCTTTTGCCTCTGGCCAAGGGGACTAAAGCCAGATTCATTTCAGCAAAGGGCAAAACGCAGGCCAGGAAGGGGGTTACAGGCCCTGCTCTGTCAGATGTGTGAACCCTGCAGTTAGAGCACACTCCTTGTGGACAGACGTGGACAGTTCTTCCTGGTGACTTCTCGACCTTAGCATGAAGATGTCTTTGCTTGGTTGCAGTGTGGGTCTGTAGTGCACTTTACCCCACAGAGCTCACCTTTAGTTGGCTTTGCTTCCCTACCGCCGTTTCTTCCTCTAATCTCTCTTTTGTTTCCTTTTGTAGACAGCGATCCCCTTCACACCCAGCACATGTCTGTAGTCAGGCCTGTCTCTGGAATCCACAGACTGTCCCCACACTCATGTGTGTTTTTTTTTAAATATTCCATATAATCCTGAATACAGGGACTGCTTAAAATTGACTGTAGTCTCTGGGGAGGAGGTAAATTTAAAAGACTGTTCATTTTTTTTTAATTTTTATTTTTTTAATATTAGTTACATTTTATTAACTTTGTACCCCTGCTGTATCCCACTCCCTCTTTCCCTCCCAATCTCACCCTCCCACCCTCATCTCCTCCTTGCCCCTTTCCAAGTCCACTGATAGGGGAGAACCTCCTCCCCTTTCATCTGATACTGGTTTATCAGCTGTCTTCAGGACTGGCTGCAAAGTCCTCCACTGTGGCCTAGCAAGGCTGCTTCTCCGGGGGGGGGGAGGTGTGTCAAAGAGCCCATCATCGAGTTCATGTCAGAAACAACCCTGTTCCCCTTATTAGGGTACCCATTTGGATACTGAGCTACCAAGGGCTACATCTGAGCAGGCTCTAGGTTGCATCCATACATGGTCCTTGTTTGAGAAACAGTCTCATAAAAGACCCCTGTGCCCAGATATATTTGGTCCTTGTGGAAATCCTGTCCTCTCCAGGTCGTATTAACTTCCCCCCCGTCCCCCCCTTTTTTTGGTTCCCTGCATTCTGCTGGAGATTTGGTTATGAATCTTAAATATGTTTTGATACACTGCTAGGTAGAGTCTTTCAGAGGCCCTCTGTGGTAGGCTCCTGCCCTGTTACTTGTTTGCTCCTACATCCAATGTCCATCCCATTTGTCTTTCTAAGTGAGTATTGATCATTGTACCCTGTTTATCTTCTTTAGGTTGATAGATTTCGGTATATTTATCCTATCTTATAGTATATACCATGTGTGTCTTTCTGCTTCTGGGATACCTCACTCAGGATGATTGTTTCTAGGTCCCATCATTTGCCTGTAAATTCCATGATTTCCTCATTTTTAATTGCTGAGTAGTATTCCATTGTGTAAAACTACCACAATTTCTGTATCCATTCCTCAACTGAGGGACATCTGAGTTGTTTCCAGGTTCTGGCTATTATGAATAAAGCTGCTACAAACATGGTTGAGCAAATGTCCTTGTTGTGTACTTGAGCCTCTTTTGGATATATGCCTAGGAGTGGTATAGCTGGATCTTGAGGAAGCATTATTCCTAATTAAGACTGTTCATTTATTTGTACTAACTTTACATTGGAACAGGAATAAAACACAGAGGAACCAATTGGGAAAGAGATGCCATCAACTTTTTGAATGTGCCATCATAGAACTGTATGTGTATGTGTGTGTGTGTGTGTGTGTGTGTGTGTGTCCAAGAGGAATTCTATTTTCGAGTCTAAGTGTATGAATACAGGCACTTCAGCCACCAAGTCCCTGGGCCCTTTATTTCCTTGAAATGGAATCTCATTTCTACTCCTCCAGTTCTCTGACACTTGCTACTTAATTTTACACTTTCTCCTCCTTCGACTGCTGTATTAGTTATTTAACACCAGGGCTCAAAAGCAATGCCAAAATATCTTCAAAAGAATTAACTACTGCTGTGGCTTTCAAACTTCACTGTGGATCATAGAACCAAAATATCACCATTGAGAGCTATTTCATGAAGATAATGTGAAATCTTTTAGAATAAATTGGAACCTTCTACTTCTGAGGGATAAAAATGATTATCCATCAAAGCAAAACCAACGGAGATCACGGTGCTTCACCGTTTGAGCCGGGAACTCTCTGTTACTTGACGGTTGGAAATTGCCAAGCAATCAGTGAGATGAGCGTTAAGAGCAGTGTTCAGGAGGCAATGAGTTAACCATGCCAGCGGCCTCCAGGTCCAGGAGAGGATTGGATTAGTGTTTTGAGCTAGTGACACGATTATGCAATAAACATAACATTCTCATGGTTAAGTAAATTTGAGGGAGCTGAGGGAGCTAGGCCTGTATATATTTTTAACAATAGAAAATTGAAAAATGATAAACAAGTAATTTAGGACCATGGCTGCTTAATCCTCAGATTCTGGGCACGGAATGATCTACTAAGACTCCCACAGGTCAGTCTGGTAAGGAAGGACCTGGGATGCTTTTTTTCCCCATTGACCAGTCTTATTTACAATACCTAAGTTACAAACAAAGGTTACAAACAGTTACAGACAGCTGGGTATGGTGGTACAGGTGGATCTCTGTGAGTTCAACGGCAGCCTGGTCTACAGAGCGAGTTCCAGGACAGCCACGACTACACAGTGAGACCCTGTCTCCAACAAACAAACAAACAAATTAA